ATGTTCTATTTTCTGATATTAAAATTATTTTAAATTCTATTTTAAACATATAATATACATTATATTTAAATTAAATAATCCATTAAAATTAATATAACATAATAAATAAATAAAAAACTCTGCTCAATGTTATATTATATTTTTTATTTTATTTTAATGTATAATATATTATAATTTAAAATTCATATTATATTAAATTCAAATATGTAAAATATACAATATAATACACATTTTATATTTATACCTATATATAACATTTTATTATTCAATTTGTAAATAAACCCATTTTGCATAATACTTTACAAATCGAATGCATTCTTCCATGTAAACGCTGTAAATCAGCCGTGTCCACTCACATCCACACAAACACATCTACTGCAGCGTAAAGACTTTACACACACGGCACACATACAGTCATAACACTGATGACACCACATGAATAATGTACAATCATCCAGTAACAAAGACAGTCTGTCCAAAACAGACTCTGCACTCAACACAGTCCATATCAATCCCCTTTGGGTTCTTAATTTATGCTAATGACATGCAAAGCCATTGCAGCTGATTGGTGGCTTCTTGCATCAGCAGCACGACTGCCAGAACTCTCAGAAACTTCAACTTTATGAATACATCTACCTCTCCACACAGAACAGCGTTCACTAAACTACACACTTTTAACATTAACTACGGCTTTTCGGTCTACAAAGAAAGAGAGACCTATAGATGGTCCAGTCTTTTTCTATCTCTTCTGACCCCGATTTGATCCGCTGACCCTCGTCTCTGACGGTATTGTGTTGTATGTGTGAGAGAGGCGTGTCGTTCAGTCTGTGACGGCTGAAGCTTCATCTCTGCTCAATAGCGGCTTCAGAAACAGCACTTCTGATGAATAATACACAACCGCAGCTCTTGCTGGACTCTTCTCCTCTCACAAACATACAGCGGCACACAAAAGTGCTGGGAACCTCGAGTCAAGCCTTTCAAAAACACGTCCAGATCATACTGAACCCCAAAATCTAAGGAAACAAATAAGAAATTATATTTTGCATGAAGACTAAAAATTGTAAATGCTTCTAAAAATAGGTTCTAAATATGTTTTATTTTATTTTAAAGTATGTATCTTTTTTACTCTAAACATACGTTTTCATTACATATTTTGTTTGAAATTTGAAAACTGAAATAAAATAAAATACTTTTCCCAAAGAAGTTATAAAGAAGTTATATTTTGCATAAAAAAATGAAATTGTAAATTTCTAAAATAGGCTCATCTTCATTTTAAACTACATCTATCCTTTTACTTCAAACAAACATCTTTTCTTTAAATGTTTTGCTTGACATTTGAAAACTAAAAAAAATAAATAATTAAAAAATACTGCTTGCTTTGATATTTTGTATTTACTATAATAAGATTCTTTTTAAGGCTGACCTTTTTCCCAAAATTAAACCCATTATATTTTGCATAAAGAAAATGAGGACAATTTTTTTTAAATGGTCCTAAAATAGGCTAAAAATATATTTTTCATTAAATGTTTTGCTTGAAATTTGTTTTAATATTTTACAAGTAATAGAATGACATTTAGACATTTTTAAGAGTTACATTTTTGCCCAGAATCAAGTAAAAGTGTAAAAATTGTAAATGGTTCTAAAATATGCTAAAAATATTTGTCTTCATTTTAAATATATATATATATAAATTTTCCAACTCAAAAATGGAAAAATTAACTCAAAATAATTCCCAGTTTCTTTGATATTGTGCATGTAATACAATGAAATTCAGTTTTTAGTGTCAAAATACTTCTTAGAGCCTCTTCCATCTAATGTGTGTGAGATGAGCATGAAAACACTGAGTCTGGAGTGTCTCTGTGTGCATCGCTGCTCAATCAGACGTGTGTGGATTAGAGGAGCGTCTCGGAGCTCCAGGAGCCTGTCAGGTCGAGGCGGCTGAGCATAAAGCCTGTGATTTCAATATGAATGCAGTGGAGGGAAGGACACGCTCTCGCAGCGGGCGACTTCCCTTCTGAGCAGCACGACGCCTCTATCACACACACACACACACACATCTGCATGCTGACAAGAAAAACACTTCACTTTCATTGCTGCACTTCATGAACGTGTTAAAGAGCCGATCACTGCTGAGAGAACTTGTTTTAAGTGGAAACTATGATTTTTAACCAGCCTAATGACAGGCAACGTATTGAACAATTAAAAGGTAAATTACAATCTGAGAAAATATATCATGCATATTTAATATGTATCCAGTGAAACGCTTTACACCATTACACCACCAGTCAGAAGTTTTAAATAATTAAGATGTTTTAATTTTTTTGAAAGGAGTCTCTTCTGCTCACCAAGGCTGCATTTATTTGATTAAAAATACAGTAAAAATTGTAAAATATTATTATAATGTAAAACAGCTGTTTTCTATGTGAATATCTGTTAAACTGTAATTTATTTCTGTGATGCGCAGCTGTATTTTCAGCATCATTACTCCAGTCTTCAGTGTCACATGATCTTCAGAAATCATTCTAATATGCTGATTTGCTGCTCAAGAAACATTTCTGATTATTATCAACGTTGAAAACAGTTGTGCTGCTGAATATTTTTGTGGAAACTGTGATAAGCTACTCTTCAAAAATATTTTTAAAAATTATAATAATACTTTTATTCAGCATTAAATTGATCAAAAGTGACAGACATTTATGTTACAAAAGTTACATATTTCTTACACAAAAGTTACATAAGTTATTTTGAACTTTCTATTCATCAAAGCAGCATCTTTTCATTTAAACTTTTTTAATTGAAATTTTATAATTGAAAAATAAATAAATAATAAAAAATTCAACCCCACTTGCTTTGATATTTTGTATGGAATATAACGAGATTCATCTTTAAAAGTGACTTTTCCCCCAAATTAAAGACATTATATTTTGCATAAAGAAAATTAAGCCTAACATTTTTAAATGGTCCTAAAAATAATTTTACTCCTAACAAATATTTTTTTCATGCAATTTTTTGAAGCATTGAATATAATAAGAACCATTATTAATATTTGATCACCAGTACTAATTAATGATAACTGAGCAGCAAAATCAACCTATCAGAATGATTTCTGAAGATCATGTGACACTGAAGACTGGAGTAATGATGCTGAAAATACTGCTGCGCATCACAGAAATAAATTACACTTTAACAGATATTCACATAGAAAACAGCTGTTTAAAATTGTAATAATTTTTCACTGTTTTTACTGTATTTTTGATGAAATAAATGCAGCCTTGGTGAGCAGAAGAGACTTCTTTCAGAAACATTAAAAAATTAGAATTATTCCAAACTTTTGACCATCAGCTGCAACCAAAGCATGTGAAGCGCAGGCCTCTGGTTCGTGTGAAGCTCTGAAACGACTGAGTTCTGTGTGTTTGGGGTTCAGAGGTCTGCGGCTCCCTGCGGTTCAGACGTAAATCTCCCGCCGCACCTGCCTGTAATTGGGCTGCTAATCCCTGCAGAACCGCGGCCTCTTTCCCTCCATTATGAGCTTCATCCAGCCGCAGGAGATGTGTTCGTCCACACCACATATTACATGCAAATACAACATCTTTCTGGACAATGAAAACCTGACCTGAGCTGCAGGAGTGAATCCAGTCATGCTGCAGATTAGTGCATTGCTTTATCAATTACCAAAAATGCAGCGGATGACTGTTAATATTAACTCAATGTATATGTGATATGGGCCAACACAATATTTAATAATAGCAATGGAAATGAACACATATACACTGAAAGTCAACACTTTTCACACTTACACTGCTGGTTAAAAGTCTGGAATAGCCAGCCTAATTAAAAAAAATTTATGAGTCTCTTCTGCTCACCAAGACTGCATTTATTTGATTAAAAATACAGTAAAAATTGTGAAATATTATTATCATTTAAAATAAGTGTGAATATATTTTAAAGTGCAATTTATTCCAGTGATGTGCAGCTGAATTTTCAGCATGATTACTCCAGTCTTCAGTGTCACATGATCTTCAGAAATCATTCTAATATGCTGATTTGAAAGAAAAGACTATATTTATGCATTTATTTGATAAAAATAAATTCCATAACTGTTTTCAATATTGATAAAAATCAGAAATGTTTCTCGAGCAGCAAATCAGAATATTAGAATGATTTCTGAAGATCATGTGACACTGAAGACTGGAGTAATGATGCTGAAAATTCAGCTGCGCATCACAGAAATAAATTACAGTTTAACAGATATTCACTTAGAAAACAGCTGTTTTAAATTATAATAATATTTCCACATTTTTAGAGTATTTACTATATTTCTAATCAAATAAATGCAGCCATAAAGAGACTTCTTTCAAAACATACATGTGTACATGTTCTCAAAATTCACTTAAATATTTAATATTTTAATAATAATAATAATAATAATACTTTCTCAAAACATTGGTTCTTGATTCATTTTTTGATTGGACTACAAAAATGTAATTTTACACAAAAAAATCTGATTAAATTGACTAAAAAGCAAAATAAAGAACACCTGTAGAAATGTTGACTGTAAAGCAGACACTGGTGCCACAGACTGTCAGACGTGTCGTACCTGTTTGGCTCCAGGTCAGTGTTTGCTGTTTGACGTCGCTTTGCCGTGACTCTTACTGCACACCTGGATGCTGTCGCCAGACTCCGGCTGTAGCTTAACGGTGGGAACGCTGAAGATTGAAGACACTGAAAAACAAGGACACATTCAGTCTGTCAGTCTTCATGAAAAACTCTTCTGTGGGAAAAGACAATGCAAAATATCACATCATCATCATCATGTGAAAGACAAGGAGAGAAAACAATTAACCCTTTAACTGTCAACGGTCCCCTCTGTGGGACGCCTAAGTTTACTTCACTATATTACAATTAAATCCTAATCTAATCATGACAAACTATATATCGTTGGAAAGGTCTAAGACTCCTAAATAGATATTTTACCAATGTTTTTGTAAAAAAATTATGTAGGAAAAGTAATAGATAAATTTTTGACAAGAGTGCACCTCAAAAATCTACATCATAACAGGAGTTCTGACCTTTGTCAAAAAAAGTCTTCTTTGTTGCCTTTTTCTCTATCACACTTTAGAAATCATCAGAAATTATATATCAATTGAAAACTTTAAATCTCAAAATTCATCCTTTGAAACCCATTTTAAAATCAAACATCAATATCATGTTACAAAATGTTTTCGTTCATGAATTATAAAAATTTAAGTTTGGATAGTGCACTTTCACGTCTATGTTCAAAAATGTGAGTGACAGTTAAAGGGTTAAATTATGATAAACTCTAATAATAATGAACAATGTATGTTTTTTCCCTATTTTTTTCTGTATGGATTTCAAATTATACATTAGATTAGTACTTGATATATGTTGTCTATAGAAGCAAATTTCAAGTTCACGTTATTATTAAAAATTAATATTGGGTTTAGTATTTTTTTTTTATTATTAAAAAACATTTTTTTTATAAATATATAAAAAAATATATGCTGAAAATTCAGCTTTGATCACAGCAATTTTAACAGATATTCACATAGAAAACAGCTGTTTTAAATTATAATAATATTTCCACATTTTTAGAGTATTTACTGTATTTTTAATCAAATAAATGCAGCCATAAAGAGACTTCTTTCAAAACATACGTGTACATGTACTCCAAAAAAGAAAAATACAGTTGAAAATTAATACATCCATAACTACGCAATTCAGAATTCCAGAAATATATGATGCACTTTTATAATATTTTCAAAACAAAACTCTATAATAATGAACAATAATTGTCTCCCCCCCCCTTTTTTTCTGTATGGATTTCAAATAATACATTAGATTAGTACTTGATATATGTTGTCTACAGAATCAAATTTCAAGTTCACGTTATTATTAAAAATTCATATGGGGTTTAGTAAATGTTTTTTATTATTAAAAAAACATTTTTTTAGTAAATATATAAAGGGATGTAGAGTATTTTTAAGAAAAATATAAAAATAAATTATATATGTGTGTGTGTGCACAATATACAAATATAAATAATATATAAAAAAATATAAAAAATAATAGAGATAAATATATTAATTAATACACTTTATATAAATATAAACACACACGACACATTGTACTCATACTGTGTGTGTGTATGTATATATATATATATATATATATTTCTATATTATATAATAGAAAATAAATATACTGAATATAAACATAATAGAAAATAATACATACAATAAATATATAGAGAGATGTTGAGTATGTAGAAGGAAAATATATTAACTAATATTAATTAATTACAGAGTAAATGAGCTTTTCTATATGTTTGCTAAGTGGTTTCTTACCAAGAAATATGACCAACAGTAAAAATGACGCTTGACTTAACAAACAGCTCTAATAAAGACATAAAACCATAATAAATAAACGCATCAGCACTTGCATTAAATTTCATTTAATAAATGCCATAAATCCTGCTGCATTTGCCGTATCAATCAAAGCCTGAGCTGAAATGTTAATTACGGTGCGTCCTCCCCAGCAGCAGCCGCTCTCTTTTGTGATAGAACTGCAAGCGTATATGAAACAACAGAATTAATTTCCCTTCATTCTTCTGCTTCAAAAGCGGCTCTGCGCTGTGTGTGTGTGTGTCAGAGCTCCGCCTCCTCGCCGGAGCCCCGCCCCCTCCTCCCTCCCACACAGCCTGCCTGTGAGCTGATAACAGGATTAATTCAGCTGCCGCTCCTAATCTGGCAAATTAAAAACCTCATTCTCGCATTCAAACAACTCGCCTGACGCTTGTCTAACGCAGACGCCTGTTTTCTGATGTGCAGAGCGAAACGTGTCTGCGCTACAGCTGTGTTGCCTGCTAATGGAGGCCTTACAGCAGATCAGCGGCCGTCAGCGTCCTCTATGGGGGTCTGACGTCTGGATTATAGATATGTGTCATATTAGACACGACAGAAGGCCTTGAGCTGCTCTGAAAACCAAAACCAGCCTGAATGACCTGAATCATCATGTTTCTGTGAGAGCTTGTTTCCACCACAGAATGAAACAATAAAAAGGTCATTGTAACTTTCTATCTCACAATTAGGGATGGGTATCGTTTACATTTTATCGATACTGATACCGATACTGCTTATCGATACCGGTACTTATCGATACTATTTGGTGCAAAAAGATATGTGAAAAGTTATTGAAAATTTCAAGTTATTATTACTTTAGCAACTGTTTTAAAGTTCTTCAGTCAAGAGAATGGAGTTATTTTTCTCTTTGTGTTTTATTTTATTAACATTAAAGGGATAGTTCACCCAAAAATGAAAATTGTGTCATCATTTACTCACTCTCAAGTAGTTTTAAACCTGAATTAGTTTCTTTCTTCTGTTGAACATAAAAGTTATTTTGAAGAACGTGGGAAAAACCAAAGTTTTTTTCCTACTATCAAAGTCAGTGTGGACCAAAAACTGTTTGGTTTCCCACATTCTTCAAAATATCTTCTTTTGTGTTCAGCACAAGAAAGAAATTAATACAGGTTTGTATTAACATTAACATTACAGTGAGTAAATAATGACAACATTTTTTAATTTTTGGGTGAACTATTCCTTTAATGACAAGCGGCAGCATGTTTAGTACTGTCGCTTTAAGAGCTGCACGCATCCGTTTCTCTCTCAACTGTTTACTTTCACTTTAGACATAATTAACTGTGTTTATATGTAAATCTTGTGTGTTTTTGACAGTATTAGCGCAATCATACGATAACTAAGATAACTAAGTAATCAGGTGCTGTTTGACCGGCCTTTTAGTGTATGCATACTTCGGGTGTACGCGCTCTGAATAAGCACATGTTAGAACAGCACGCGAATGAAATGTCTAACCAGCAAGGCTTTAAAGCACATGCAAATAATGTACTTTTGTGATTGCGAATAAGTGCAGTGAGTGTAACTCTTCCTCTGAATCAACATTTGGTGTGAATGTGTCTCGCGAGTTGCAGTTGGAGCTGGAGCCGCGAGACATAATACAGCGCATTGCTAGAGGTAGATGTTGTGTTTTGTTAGTAAATGTTTCATTATATTACTAGTGTTGCCTCCTTTGTTCACTATTACACTACTGCACATATTGAATCTGACACTGGTGTCGCTTAGTTTTGTATCGTGAGCCCACACTTCTGAACGTTTCATTCTTGCCGCCACTGATTGCGCATAAACCAGCATCAAAACATACCTAACCAGCATATGCTGTTTTTTTCAACAGGGCTGGCAGTTCTTCTGAACGATTTTGTGTATGAACACACACACACACACACGTGTTCCGGTCGGGTTAGTAACGTGTTGCAACTAATGCTGAAGGCAAACTTGCCCAATATTATTGTGAAACAGCGTTTTTGGAGGAAGAGGACGTGGCTCCGGGATTCTGTGACCAGAAGCAACATTACATAAACCAGCAGCAATGGCATTAGATGTCACAGAACATTTATGTAAGGCTGTTAACTGAATTGAGAAGAAGTCAGTGTCGAAGAAGTTGTCAAATAGTTGTTCATTGGTGCAAGCATAAAGCGTAGTGTTCCTTAAAGTAGGCTACTGATGTAAGAACTTTGTTGAATCTTAATATGGTAATCATTCAGTACCATGTAGACAGTAGCGAGATCTATTAACTGCACTACAGACAGATTTACCTGTCTGACTGTAGGTCTAATTGCCTCAGACTTTAAATATTTGCCAGGTCATCTGATTATATGGCTTCTAAGAAAAATATGTTCTAAGAATAATGTTCTGAAAACCTAAGCACAAATACTTCGTTCATGGTACTTTTTTCTGTAACGTTTTAGTTGGATGTTCTTTTTACCCTTTAACTGTCACCCGTGTTTACTTCACTATATTACAATTAAATCCTAATCTAATCATGACAAACTATATATCGTTGGAAAGGTCTAAGACTCCTAAATAGATATTTTACCAATGTTTTTGTAAAAAAATTATGTAGGAAAGGTAATAGATTAATTTATGACAAGAGTGCACCTCAAAAATCTACATCATAACAGGAGTTCTGACCTTTGTCAAAAAAAGTCTTCTTTGTTGCCTTTTTCTCTATCACACTTTAGAAATCATCAGAAATTATATATCAATTGAAAACTTTAAATCTCAAAATTCATCCTTTGAAACCCATTTTAAAATCAAACATCAATATCATGTTACAAAATGTTTTCGTTCATGAATTATAAAAATTTAAGTTTGGATAGTGCACTTTCACGTCTATGTTCAAAAATGTGAGTGACAGTTAAAGGGTTAAATTATGATAAACTCTAATAATAATGAACAATGTATGTTTTTTCCCTATTTTTTTCTGTATGGATTTCAAATTATACATTAGATTAGTACTTGATATATGTTGTCTATAGAAGCAAATTTCAAGTTCACGTTATTATTAAAAATTAATATTGGGTTTAGTATTTTTTTTTTATTATTAAAAAACATTTTTTTTATAAATATATAAAAAAATATATGCTGAAAATTCAGCTTTGATCACAGCAATTTTAACAGATATTCACATAGAAAACAGCTGTTTTAAATTATAATAATATTTCCACATTTTTAGAGTATTTACTGTATTTTTAATCAAATAAATGCAGCCATAAAGAGACTTCTTTCAAAACATACGTGTACATGTACTCCAAAAAAGAAAAATACAGTTGAAAATGAATACATCCATAA